ATCAGAAAGAAACCCATAGTGAGATGCGCAATCGGAAAAAAGGGAGCTGCGCACAGTGGAGGAGAGTTTGACGGATGAGCAGGAGGAGGAGCAGGAGGAGGAGGAGGAACATGAGGAGGACGAGGAGGAGCCAGCAGGACGAGGACGAACATCAGCAGCCGGAGCGGGAGGACCACGAGGACCAGGGGAAGGCGGCGAGGGGAAAGGAGCGGGCGACAACAACGAGGAAGGACTCGCGCGGGGTCTAGAGCGCCATTTTGAACGACGGCGTCAGGGTGCCGATCCTCAACATGAGGCTCACGCTGCTATAGCAACAAAACCATGAGAAATATTCATGCTTCAATGTCTGTGCAAAAGCTATACGCGAAGAGGCCGGAGCATCTTCAGGACAGGCTTCGGAAAGAAGAGAGAGTAGCATTCATATTGGGCGCGCCGTGGTGGAGGGCGGCGCGGCGGCAGGGCCGAGCGGATGGAGTGGCAAGGACGGATGGGAGAGGGGGATACGAGGGAGGGAGGCGCAGGGGGGGGAGGAAGGAGGGGCAAGGGGAAGCGGAGTGAGGGAGGGAGGGCAGGAGAAGGGAGGGGGGGAGGGAGGGCAGGAGAGGGGAGGGCGGGGGAGGGAGGGCAGGGGAAGGGAGGGGGGGGACAAGCAGCAACGGAGGAGCAGGGGGACGAGGGGAAAGGCGAGGAGGGGGAGGAGGAGGAGGAGGAGGAGGAGGAGGAGGAGGAGGAGGAGGAGGTGGTGGAGGAGGAGGAGGGAACAGAAGGGGAGGAATAGTGAATGAGGATGAGAACGGAGAGGGGGGAGGAGGAGGAGCAGACATGAGGAGTCAGGAGGAGAGAGGAGCTGAATGAGGATGAAATAGCAGGAAGTAGAGAGAAGAGAGGAGGAAGAGGAGGGTGGAAGAGAAGGGAGTAGTGAGGAAGCGAGAGGAGGTGGAGCGTGGCCCAGGAGAAGAGGAGAGAGGAGAAGGAGGATGAGAGGAGGACCTCAGAGGTGGACGAGAAAATGGAACGAGGAGGGACGAGGACGAAACGAAAAGCTAGGCCGATATCTGTTGGCGGATACCCTCGAGAGGCCACTGGGCCCCCTCTGGGTACCTCTCGTGAGGACTGGGGCTTTGGGGGTCCCTTGGAAGCCCTGGACGTCCCTTCGGCGCACCCTTAGGGGACTTCCTGGCCCCGTAATCCCAAACAACTTGTTCTCTGGACGGATTAGGATTGAGGATGCCATAACAACGGACATCCTAACAATCTTATCATTTAATTAAACCTGTGTTTGAACTGTACGAGAAATTTTATAAAAACGCTTTAGGCATGTCTTTGCATGTTTAAGACATGTTTAAACATGTTTTACACAGCTGGAAATTATTTGGCAACATGCATCCTCTCCATTGATCGTCGTCCACAAGATATAGATCGCTTCCTCCCTCCGCTGAGTGTGGGACGTTCTGCAAACACACAATAATGTGTTGTGCCCCTCCATCCAAAGACCGCCCGTGAACACCGCACACTTCTCCCTGGGAGGCCTCCCGTGTGGAAGTCCGAAAGGTGCCCCTGAAGGCCCTGGCATGCTCATGACAGCACCCGAGGAGCCCTCGTCGCTCCAGAGACTGCCTGGACGCCATCCCGACCGATCTCACGAGCCGCGTCCAACCCCTGCCACGAAAAGAGCCCCCCCCCCCCCCCGAGGCCGCGACAGGGGGCCCGAAAGCCTCCGTCCGTCGAGGCGTCGCCGCCCGCGCCGGGGGTGTCAGCCCCGCACCTCCGACCTGCCCGACCTCGTGATCTGGCAAGATGCCCGGCGCCCGGAGCTCTCGGCGCACCCCCGGGGGGGCCGAGGCTCTCCTCGTCCCTGGTCGGCTCGTCGCCGCCTTCGGAGCCCGAGGGCGGCCCTATAGAGCCCGAAGGCCTCCCCATCTCGACGTGCTGCCGACGCCGTGACTCGCACGGGAGGAGGAGGAGAGGGAGGAGGGGGAGGAGGAGGAGGAGGAGGAGGAGGAGGAGGAGGAGGAGGAGGAGGAGGAGGAGGAGGAGGAGGAGGGGGCCGGGAAAGCTCTTGACCTCTCTCTGCAGCATCGCTCTCTGGCGGCCCCCAAAGATCGACAAAAACGGTCTCCGGGCATCGACGCCTGCGGGACAGCTGCGCCTCGATCGTCCCGCGCGGCGCGCGGCGCGAGATGCGCGGCGCGCGGCTGCTTCGCCCTCGCGAGGCCAGCTCGGAAAGCCGAGGGCAGCTCTCCGGCACATGCCGCCGTGCGCGAAGAGCGCAGCTTGCCTCGCGCACCTGGGGCGGCGGCCAACAGCTCGTGCCACGGGACAGCTCCATAGAAAGGGGCACAGGGACACACAAATAAATAGATACAGATCTCAGTATTTTCCATAATCTCTGGGTTTTCGTTTCCCCCCCCAACTTTCCATATTTTCTCATATTTTCCTGGGAATCGACGATGACTTGTGTCTGTGTGTTTTTCCCCTCCTGACCAAAGTGCGCAGCGCGCGTGGAGGGGCAGGGCATCACCGTGACTGGCGTTGAAGCCGTCCTGGGCAACGTGTTGGCGTCGTGATGCCTGCCATGCTGGAGACTTTCAAACGCTAGTGTATGTTATGGTAGCTGTGTTTCGTCCTCTCGTGGCCTTCGGTGACACTTTGATTCGGTTAGTTCTTCGCTACGCGCACCTTCGTCTGTCAGCTCTTCTTCCTACAGCTGCCTAGGTCCAACGACTGGCTTGACCCAGCGCTTGGCTGAATAAAGCAGCTGACGAGCGTACCCGGTGCCGAAACAGGCTTGCCAACCCAGAATATAAATTTTGTGAAATAACGAAATGGCAATTACCCAAGCTGCCCGAAGCCAGCATGGATGCCCACTGGCCTCTCTGACCACCAGAACGCACATGAAAACTGAAACCGAATTATTCAGGAACTCACAGTTCCCCATGTTGAGACCTGTCACTCCAGATTTGAAATGGTTAGAAGACAAATGCCCATGACAGCTTTCAACGCCAACCATGAGAATCACACACTAAAGTGAAGCGATGAACCAGCAAAAAATCTCGCAGCGTAGCAGAAACAACCACGACAATGACGAGGGGTGACAACCCCATTCTGTTGCATGTTCGGGAGACCGTCTCTGTCCCATCGTTTGACCATCCTCGTCGAATCCATGTCGCACGCGGCGCATCCGCGCTGAATCAACACCGAATGCGCTCAGGTCCGCGCCGAACCCACCTCGAACCTGCGTCGGGCTACACGAGAAGACCGCAATTTGAAGGACGGGTAAGGTGCGAGAGAGAGAGAACGAGATGGGGACCAGATCAGGGGAGGGAACAACGACCTGGAATCGGCAACATGTCGCAGATATATCGGCGATAGGACCCCGATGGCGAAACCAAACGCTCCTAGGCGGAGTTGGCTATCGAGCCCACTGCCGGCTATCGATGGGCGGTAAGGGTCAACGCGTCCCCTCTGAGCTCAATTATCACCTCCGAGTTGCCCCTGACAGAAGCCCCCCTGAGGCCTCAAGACCTGAATGCTGTATAGTCCTCGTGCTGCCATGAGGAATGCCGAGTGTGGCAAGTAAGGGGGAGGAGGAGGGGAGGAGGAGGAGAAGGAGGAGGAGGAGGAGGAGGAGGCGGAGCGTAACTACCCAGAAGAGGGGATGAGGAGGACGAGGAGGAGAAGAAACAGGAGGAGGAGGAGGAGAGTTGATCAGAGGGTTCCAAGGAGAAACGGGGCGGATGATTTCCAAGACAGGATGTCGGGTGCAAGCTACCGTGGATTAGGGATACGTGGATCTGGTGCGCGGTCGCCAGATCCATGTTTCGGGAAAGGTACGTAGCCCCGAGAAGTGGCGCTGATGCCGCCCGATCTGGTGGCGGAGCGCGCCGATTGTGTATGGAAACGGGACCCATCTCTAGTCGACGCGCCTCAATCCATGCCTGCGCTTCCCCGAGGAAGGATGATGATGATGATGATGATGATGATGATGAGGAGGAGGAGGAGGAGGAGGAGGAGGAGGAGGAGGAGGAATGCACAAAGGTGCTCTGGGGAAGGCCAGAGCGGAGGACGTGAAAGACAGGACGCAGTGCAGCCGTGCAGCCGTGCAGCCCCTCCTCCTGGGTCGCAGAAGGACATATTACTACTATGTGTCCTCCTTGGAGGTGTACGTCCGACCCGAGCATATAATACAAAAATCTGGTAGCACATCGTTTCCCGAGAGGCACGGCCAGGAAGGGCCCGCCACGGAGCTTATACTACAAGATTCCTCGGCGCGCGCGTGGCCCCTGAGGGACCCATCGTATCATCATGTTTCATTGCACCAGCCTTGCAGACGTGCTGCAGCGGATTTCTGCGTGGATTTTTGCCCGAAGCGGCGAGCGAAAAACGAAGTGAATCTCGCGTGGATCCTTTTTGGTCTGAATCCCTGGCCAATACAACTCCGCACGAAATCCACCACGAAATGAGGAGCGAAATTCTCCAGGACACTCCGGGCCCACCCTATCGTTTTCCGTGCGAAATCCGCTCTGCGAGGATGGGGCCATGATGCTATAAGATGACTCGGCGCGCGCTTGGCCCCTGCGGGGGGCGACGCAACCATCGTATCAGCATGTTGGGTTGAATCCTCCTCCTCCTCCCGCTCCTCCTCCTCCTCCTCCTCCTCCTCCGCCTCCTCCTCCTCCTCCTCCTCCTCCTCCTTTGGCTCAAGGCCGAGGCCTCTGGGGGCCGAGGTCGCGCAGCACTGCCTCCCAGGTCAGGCCCTGGGAGATAGGGCTCGAGCTGGCCCCCCACTGCCGCCCGGCCACCCTTTACTTCTTCCTTTCCGCCCGGCCGCATCGTCTCCGGTGCTGTGCGCTTCACGGGTACGGCTTCTGACCTGAACGAGGGGCCCATTCACGCTCGCTTCTTCGTTGCCGACGACTTGCTCGGTGAGGAGCTGGGCACTCGTCTCTCGCGTTTCTGTTCAGCTTTTGGTGTGAGGCAGGTGGATTTCGTGATCTGCCATGGAGCCCCCGCCCGGCAACTGGAGCGAGGTGGAGACATATCATCTTCTGAGGCGCCCTTTGCCGGTGACTCCGGCTCCCGTTGCTATGAAGATGGAGGCGGATGGGCAGCTGGTAAAACGCCTGCGGAGGTGGGACCACCAGCGGGAGGCTGCTGGAGCTCCGGCGGCCGGCAAGCATCTCTTGCCGGCGCCGCTTCCGGCACCGGCGGCCTCGGCTACGTCCAACCCGAAGCAGGCGACGGCTCTATTCTCGGCCCCGATGATGAAGGAGAAGTTCGAAGGTGCCTGCGCGGGGCCCCCGGCATCGCCAGCAGTTCCGGAGGCGAGCAGTGTGCTTCTTCCGGAGCCTCCCTCCGCTCCGAGGGCTCCTACGAAGGTGATAGTGATCCCGGCTCCGCCTGCGCCTCCTTCGGCGGAAGGATCCCGGCGCCCCCGGAAACGCAAGCACAAGAAGAAGGCGGGGAAGGACGCCCGTTCGGAGGAGGCCAAGCTGGGCTTGCAGGAGTGGCCTCAGCCGCCGCCTCCGCCGGCCCGTATCGTGCGCACCCCGCCCAGGAAGAGGTAAAGGCTCGGCGAAAGAGACACAGGAAGAAGAAAGGCAACCCAACTTTGGCTGAGCCTCTCAGTGAGGCTCGCCTTTCGGCTGAGCCTCTTAGTGAGGCTCGCCTTTCGGCTGAGACTCTTCGTGAGGCTCGCTTGCATTTTCGTGTTCGGCTGAGCCCGTGTCCGGGGCTCGCCCAGATGAATGCTCTGATGTGGTTGGTTTGGAGCCGCTTCCTTCGGTTGAGGCGCTCCCCGATCAGGCGGTAGCACATTCGTCTTCGGGTGAGGCGGAGGGCTCGGCAGGGACACTGCAGCATTTTTCACGACCCGACGTTGCGACGGGATCTTTACAATTGGGCGCGAAGACGCCTGAGGGTTCGAGTTTTGATGTGGGCGCAAGGGCGCCCTCCATCTCGGACTGTGCTTTGCTCCGCCGTTTTTCTGATGGCGTCGAGGTGATAGAAGTTCTGCGCGCAAAGCCGTGGCTGGTGGAACCTGTTTTGAGTGCGGCGTCTCGGTTGGTCCTGGCGGAGGTTTCCACCCTCATGCCAGTCGTATCAGCCTTGCAGGCGCCCAGTTCTAGCCGGTAGTCTCAGTCATGCAGCTGTTCACTTAGCAGCTCCTGCACCCAATTTTCTTGCTACCATGTTTTAACCCGCCTCGGAGTTTGGCATGGCATCGCACACAGTGAAAAATCCTCCTCCTCCTCCTCCTCCTCCTCCTCCTCCTCCTCCTCCTCCTCATCCTCCCCTCCTCACTCCTCCTCCTCCTCCTCCTCCTCCTCCTCCTCCTCCTCCTCCTTCTCCTCCCCCTCCTCTCCTCCTCCTCCTCCCCCCCTCCCCTCCTCCTCCTCCTCCGCCTCCCTCCTCCTCCTTCCTCCCTCCTCCTCCTCCTCCTCGTCCTCCTGTTACCTCCTCCCCCCCTCCTCCTCACTCCTCCTCCTCCTCCCCTCCTCCGCCAACCTCCTCCACCTCCTCCTCCCTCCCCTCCTTCTCCTCCGCCTCCCCGGTCACCCCCCCCACCCCCCTCCCCCCCCCCGGTCCTCCCCCTCGTCGTCGTCACGTCGCGTCCTCCTCCTCCTCCGCTTCCTCCTCCTCCTCCTCCTCCTCCTCCTTCTCATTCTCTTTCTCCGCCTCCTCCTCTTCCTCTTCTCCTTCTCCTGTTCTGCCTCCTCCTCCTCCTCCTCCTCCTTTCCGCTCGTGGTGCCGGGGCCGTTTTCTGCCCAGCCAGCGCCGCCCATACCACCCCCCCGATCCTCGGCGGCAGAAGGGTGGGGCCCGGAGGGAGGAGGCCCCGTGGGCGAGGTGCTCCAGGGCCGACCGGAGGACCCCGCATGCGTGTCCGCGGGGCCCCCTCTTTCAGGGCCCTATCTTTCAGGCGCTGGGCTCCCGGATATCCCCCCTGCCCGCCGCAGGGTGCCCGCCCTCCCCGCGCGATCTCAGAATGAAGTGCGCCGTCGCGGCGCTCCTGCTGCTGGCCGGCGCGGCGGCGGCGGAGGAGCGTCGGGCTCTGCGCTGTGGGTCGGGGCTCGAGACCCAGACCCCCTCGCGTCGTGGACAAAAAAACACGACGGGAGGTTTTTCGCTCTTGTCGGCCTCCGGGGGCCGTCGCTGGGCCTCGGGACTGTCAGAAAACGGCTCAGGATGAGGAGCCTTTGGGGGCGCGCCATGACGAAATCATGACGTCGGGGGCCTGGGGAGGCCGGGGTCGGGCAGAGCGTTGGATTTTGCGGGTTCCTGCAGAGGCAGAGTTGCATTGACGCGGGTTGGGGCGCAGGATCCTGCAGGGTCGCGCAGGGCCCTGCAAAGCCCGCCAGACCCGTGTCTGAATTGACCCGGGTCAGTAGATCCCCGAATGGAGAGCGATAAACATGGGGGCGAACAAACGAGCACCTTTCGTGCCCCTTTGGGGCTCCAGCAGGCCCTTGGAAGGCCCTTTTAGGATACAAAAGGGGCATCTTTCGTCACCTTCCATTTTGCGCCCCCCATTAGGCAACGCCCAAGATCGGGGTGTCGGAAGCGGCCTACAGTCCATACACTGGAGTATACGCAGGTCGTTGAAAGTATGTATTTCCGGACTCCTGGATCCCAATATAATTGCAACGATTCCTATGTCAATGTATCTATATGTGTTGTTTCGTTTGGTTCTTCGGGCGGGCACTAACCCAATCTTCTTTGTCCGCCTGTCTATATGTATATATATGTATTGTTTCTACCTGCTGCTTCCGCGGGTAAGGACCATGTTGGGTGCAGGAGGGGCGCTTCTCAGAGGAGGAGAAGGAAAACAGGTACCGACACCGTCACCCTGGTCTAGGTTTCGCCATCTTGGGCCTTCTGGGATGCCTTCGTCGCCACGGCTGGGTTCGCCTCGAAGTCCTGGTCAGAACTCAAGATGGCAGAGGTCTGGGGAGTCGCGGTATGGGTACTTTCTGGTTTCCCCATGTTCGGGCGGGAACAGGACTGGGAAACATGCTTCCAGAGCGTTCCAGAGCGCCTTCCGACCGTTCCGGAACGCTGACATGCCCCAGGCTCAGGTCGGGCATGTCCCCCTACAGGTGGATTGCTAAGGCCTTACGGCCAGTGCCGCCGACCCTGGAGGCCTCGGCCCTCGACGGAAATGGGAGGGACAGGGCGGGCCATGGGCCCCGGGAGGATGGTATTCTGACCCGGGACCCCCCAGACCCCCGTCTGGGACACATCCCCTTCGAGTAAACACCGGCGTTGCTCAGATTGGCTTCCCCTCCGCGTCGCGGCCGCTCCCCTCCCCCGAAAGGAGCCGCCCGGGAGCTGCCCGGGTGCCGCCCCCCCCCGCGTATCCGCCCCCCCCCCCCCTCACCATCCTTATTTCCTATGATGCAACACCCCCACATTCCCACTTAGCCGGCCGATAGCAATCCCGCCGTCCTAACTGTTAAACACTAGCACGAACTCAATTTGTTCTCGCCAACATGTCGTTGAATTGCGAAAAGTCTAGGAGGAAGAAGACGGAATGAAAATCGTTTGGGTAACCCCCGGCGGGTGGTCGCGTCTTACCCATCCCAAAAAACAATACACAGTCAACGTTTTTCTCGTCAACATGGATTTTCTTGTCGTCGACGCTGCGGGAAGTTTAGCAAGAAATGGGGCGCGGCGCACATCGCGCGCGGACGCCTGGCCAACCTTACGCGGGACCCCCCGTCCTACCGGCCAAAATACACCGCAACGTCGACGTCTGTCTTGCCAACATGTATTTTCTCTTCGTCGGCGCTGCGAATCGCGTAGCGGGAATTGGGCGCGGCGCTCATCGCGCGTGGACGCCTGCTCGTCAACATGGACTTTCTTGTCGTCGACGCTGCGGCCCGTCGGGTTGAGGAGCTGGGCGGGCGGCAAGTCAGAATGCCTCAAGCAAGTGCGGTTCGCTGCCGGCGCGCCCGCTGTCGTTTCCGAGCGTCTAGCCGCCCACGATATAAGATGAGCGACGGGCGTCGGACACGACGCACTTGCTTCTTATGTTGTTGGGGGGCGGGTGGGAGTGGACGGAGCCTTCTGTCTCGATCGAGCTGGCTAACTTGCCCCCCCCCCCCTACACCCCCACACCCCCTCGGGGGGAAGGCGTTAAAGGGAACGAGCATGTCCCCTACAGGGGGATTTTGAGGGACAAACAAAACAGATTATAAAGCATTTTCCTAACTGTCGAAACATATGGAAAATTCTCCCCATACTGTTTTGGACTATTGTTGAATTTCCCCCCTGTGGAAGGGCAGGCCCGGCTTAATCCCAGTCTTGACTTCGTCTCAGCTGTTTTTTCGGGCCGATCCTGGCATTGAGGTTGGGGCCTATTCATCGTTGCCGAGGCTCGCCGTGGCCACAGAAGCTCCCGTTCGTTCCTTGCGCAACGTTCCTTGTGGTAGTACGACGCTGTGTCGGAAGTGACCTGGAAGACGAAACCATTGTATAGCCAGGAATTCAATTCTTAACGCTTCGCGTATCCCCACCAGCCCATCTCACAACAGCAACTCTTGCGAAGCATGCCGACAGTCGTGTTTTTCAGGCGTGTGTCCGCTTGCCCCCGCATATCTCCCCTGTTCCTCCTTCCTCCCGCCTCCTTGTACATCCTCCTTGTAGGGGGAGCGGGAGAAGGACGAGGCGGAGGAGGAGGGAGAGAAAGCGCTCCTCCTGATTTGAGTCGTTTGGGGTTTCTCGTCCTGGTGTGAGTCGTTCGGGCCCTTTTTCCTGGTGTGAGTCGTTCGGGCTCTTCGTTGTGTGAGTCGTTCGGGCTCTTCGTCACGTCCTGGTGTGAGTCGTTCGGGCTTCTCGTGGTGTGAGTTGTTCGGGCCCCTCATCCTGGTGTGAGTCGTTCGGGCCCTTCCTCCTGTGTGACTGGTTCGGACTCCTCGTGGTGTGAGTCGTTCGAGGCCCGCGTCGTGGTGTGAGTCGTTCGGGCTCCTCGTGATGTGAGTCGTTCGGGCGCCTCGTCCTGGTGTAAGTCGTTCGGGAACTTCCTTGTGGTGTGAGTCGTTCGGGCTCTTCGTGGTGTGAGTCGTTCGGGCCCCTCGCCCTGGTGTGAGTCGTTCGGGCTCCTCGTGGGGCCTCCTGGGGGCCTCTTGGAGCCTCTTGGGGCCTCTTGGGGCCTCTTGGGGGCCTCTTGGGGGCCTCTTGGGGGCCTCTTGGGGCTTCTTGGGGCCTCTTGGGGGCCTCTTGGGGGCTTCTTGGGGGCCTCTTGGGGCCTCGTGGGGGCTTCTGGGGGGCCTCTTGGAGGCCTCTTGGGAGCCTCCTGGGGGCCTCTTGGGGCCATCTTGGGGCCTCTTGCGACCTCCCCAGAAGCGCAAATAAGCGCTACCCCCTGAGAAGGACAAAATGAAGCCAAAACCTTCGTAAAATCAATGATTTTGATATCAAGGAAGAGGAGCGCTGCCCCCTCAGAAGGCCGAAATGGGGCCGAAACCCTGGTAAAATGAATGATTCTGGTTTCAAAGAAGAGCAGAGGGGCCAAACTCGGCCCCCCCTTCGGGGCCAGAATCCTTGTGAGGGTCGTCGTTTTTTGGCCCTCCGAGGAGTCGAAATGAACCCCCCCGCCACCACCCGGGAATCCCTGTCCAGGTCCAGGGGGAGGGGGTAGGGGGAGGGGTAAACCCCTCCCCGAAGGGGAAGAAGGGGGGTTGAGGACAGAGAGAGCTCTCTAAACCACTCACGCCCAAAGGGCTGGTGGGATTTTCGTAGGTGCGCCCGCATGCGGTTCCACTCCCATTTCGCCACACCCTTCACACGCTTCGTGGCCCCAGATGGGTGCTCCGCCAAAGGCCCCAGTGGCAGCGCCAGCACGCAGTTCCACCCTCCATTTCGGCACATTCCTCATACGCTTCGTGGCTCCATAGGGAATTCCGCCGCGTCACCATCGGCAGTGCTTGCGTGCGGTTTCACACGCAATGCGGTTCACCTTTCGCACGCTTCGTGACCGCTTAGGCAGCTCCACCGAATGCCCCAGTGGCAGCGCCCGCAGCTTCGTGGCCCCATAGGGAGCTCCGCCGAAGGCCCCAGTGGCAATGCCCGCATGCGGTTCCACCTCCATTTCGGTGAACCCTTGTTACGTTTCGTAACCCTATAGGGAGTTCAGTCGAAGGTCCACGTGGTAGCGCCCGCATACAACATCAGTTTTTCCCAGTTTGCCCCTCACACGCTTCGTGGCGCCAGTGGTTGCGTCCGCACGTCATTCCCTCACATGCCGTAGTGATCACAGGCGATTGATGCGCCGGTGGCGCGGACGCACCCCGGCTGGTGCACGCCGCGGTCGCCGTCACCGCTACCCTCCCGCCCGACCCCCCCCGGGCAACGACCGTTACGGCCAACGGCCACTTGCGTTTTTTGGTGAACAGTGCCGGGCCCCAGGTTTGCCAAGAAAAATGACTCGGGATGAAAAGGCGGTTCCTCTGGAAGGGCTGCAGACCTGTGGTGAGCCACGCTGTGAGCAAGAACCTCGACGCTGGAGGTCCGGGGAGGGGAGGCAGGCGGGGGGTGGAGGGGATGATCGCGTCCTAGAGATGATTGCACCTCGTCGCGAAGGGGAGACGACGCCGTCTGGCCAGGGGGCTGCCCGCGCGGTTGCCACGACAGCCCTTGCAGGGGGCAGGGGCCCGTGGGGCCGGTCCAGGGGGCAAGGGCTCCCACGAGGGCGCGAAGTTATTCGCGCTTCGCGCTTCGCGGTCCTCGTTCCTTCTCCCCCTCCTCCTCGTCCTCCTTTTCTCCCTTTGGGGGGGCGGCGCGAGGGCGCGAAGTTATTCGCGCTTCGCGGAGCGCGAAGCGCGAAGTTGGGAGCCCTAGAGGGGGAGAGGAACAGGATCGAGGGGTCGGAGGATCCACCCACGCAGAGAACGCAGAGGTCCAGCCCTGGTGGAGTCGAGCCGGGATCGCTCGCGGAGGTGCGCCCTCAGAAGGCCGGCGTCGGGGATTTTTTGTGCCGCAGCGTGGCCTTCGAGAGGGAGAGGCCTGCTGTCCCCCTCTGGGGAGGGCGGCTTGTCGCTCCGATCTCCTCGTCCTCCTCCACCTGCTCCTCCTCCTCCTTCTCGATCCTCCTCCTCCTGGACCTCCTCCTCTTCCTCGTCCTCCTCCCCCTCCGATTCATCATCATTCCTCACTCCTCCCCTTTCCCTCCTCCTCCTCCACCTCATCCTTCTCTTTGTCTTTCTCTTGCTCTCCTCCCTGTCACTGCAGACAAACGCTCGTTTTGGACAGCGTTGTCGTCGTTTTCTGATTCGTCGTCTTGCCGATCTGCGCGGGCCGTCGCACCCCCCCCCTCCTCCCCCCGTGGAGTGGATCTAGGTTGCTCTTGGGCGCCGGTTTCAAGCAGGTCCGCCCTCATGGGACGCACTGCTGCAAACAGTCGCACGAAGCAGAGGTACGGAGCCAGACCCCCCCCTCCTCCCTTCTTTCCGCCCATGTCGAAACGCCCAAGAAGAAACGGTAACGTGAGGTTATGGTGGTCTCAGGTCCCCGGCGGCCGCCCTGGGCGCTCTGGGCACCGCCAGGACGCCCTTGGCGAGGCTCAGCTGAAGGAGAACACGGCACCCTGTGGCCGGAAGCACCTCCGAGAGCGACCGAGACCGCCAACAAAGTTTGGGTTGTGAGCTCTCTCCTTGGCGCGAGGAGGTCCTGGAGATCCGACACTGCGAACAGAAACAGTTGCATCGTCGCGACGAATCACGACCGGAGTTCTAGACCCAATCTTTCTGCGGCATTTTCTGAGCCGGATCTACATGTGATGCCAGATCCCCCATCTCTCCTGATGTCCCGCACCGGCTGCGCCGCCAGATACTCCTGGAAATCCTGGGACGTATCTTGTGCCAATCTTATCATGACATCGCTCTTGCCCGATGATTCGGCGGCGAGCGAGGGGGGGAAGTGAGAATGGGCGGGCCTTCTCAGAAGGCTCGGAAGTCCCCGGGCCCGCGGCCTTCTGAGAAGTGTTCCAAGCCTTCCCCAAAGACACAGAAGCCTCCTCCGAAGGCGCGAGGGCTTCTGATAGGCCCCGCCGCCTTTGAGAAGGCCTCCTCCTCCTCGTTTCCCCTCGCACGCCGCCAAATGATGGTCCTGGGGCCCACCCCCTCCTCCCCCTCTCCCTCCTCCTCCGCCTCCTCCGCCTCCTCCTCCTCCTCCTCCTCCTCCTCCTTGCCTCCTCCTCCTCTTTGCCTCCTCCTCCTCCTCCTCCTCCTCCTCCTCCTCCTCCTCCTCCCCCTCCTCCTCCTCCCCCTCCTCCTCCTCCCCCCAAGCTTGGGCAAAGCCGCCCTTTGTGTAGTGTCAAACCCATGCCGCGATGCGATCTCGGAGGTCTGCCGGTCTCTGCCGCGAGGCCTCCGCCGGCCGCGCGCCTCGCGAGGACGGCAACCCCCTGGGGAAGGTGATCGAGCTCATGGACTCGCTCACGGCGAAGCTCACGGCCGATGGCGAGGCCGGGTTGCGGGAGGAGGCGGCGGAGGAGGCGGAGGATCGGGCGGGACGAAAGGGGGGGATAGGGAAAGGGGGGATTACGAAATTTGCTGCAAGCAGCTGGTTTCGGCCCCACCGAGGGGCCCATTCCTCGATACATGGCCGCCTCCGGCGCCGGGAGGCGCCGGGAAAATCAGCTACGTGAGCTGATTTTCAACACTCCCCTTTGCTATCCCCCCCTTTCGCCCAGCCCGAGAGGAGGCGGAGGGGAGGGAGGGGGGAGGGAGGAGGGAGGAGGGAGGGGGGGAGGACCAGCCAGGCGCGCTCGCGTCATATTTGACGATCTACCACTCCCTCCCATTCCCTTGCCATGGCGTAGATCTCTTCTCTATTAGCACAACCGGATGTCGCAGCATCGCGTAGCATTACATGGTATAGCATGGTGTTGAAGATCAACGAGTAGCATGACATAGCATGGCGTTGCGACGCCCCAAAGTGGGGAGGGGCTTCTGCGGCCCCAAAAATCACTTCCGATGGTTCCTGCGGGAGGCCATTTTTCAGATTGTGGGGCCTATTTGGAAGGACCGAACCCATGCCGTGGCATGGCACTGGAAGTACTGACGCCTGCGCTGCAGCGGGAGCACGATGCGGAAAGAGCGGAAGCACGGAACCGAGGCCAGCGCTGCAGCGGGAGCACGACTCGGAGGACGCGGAGCCTGACATAGCATGGCGTGGCGACGCCCCAAAGTGGGGGGGGGGGGGGGCTTCCAGTGTTTTTTTCGGTGGGCCATTTTCTAGATTGTGGCGCCTATTTGGAAGGACCGAAAACCATGTCGTGGTATGGCGCTGGGAATAATGACTCCAGCGCTGCAGCGGGAGCACGATTCGGAACGAGCGGACGCGCGGAACTGAGGCCAGCGCTGCAGCGGGAGCACGATTCGGAATGCCCGGTAGGAGCCCGTTTCTTTATTGCTTGGGGCATGACGGGCGTCATGGCCCCCGCTCCACCCCCCCCCCTATGACGTAACGCTCCCCCCCCCAGTGCGCTCCGGGCACTGCCGCCGTGCGCATTGGGATCCGCGTGGGTGTCCGCGTAGGAATCCGCATAGGTGTCTGGTCCGCAGGCGTCGTCGTCGTCGTCGTCGTCGTCGTCGTCGTCGTCGTCGTCGTCGTCCGTCGTCGTCGCTCGTGGTTCGTCGCTCGTCGCTCATCGTCGTCGTGCGCGCGGACGCGGCTGGAGCCTGTTTTTAAGTCCGGGCTAAGCCCGAAAATGAAGCCAGCGCCTCAGCGAGAGCAGCATTTTGAACACAAACCTAAGCGCAAACCCGTTTACGGGAAATCCTTTGTGCAAGCAGCCAGTATGCGAAGAGGGCCAGCCACTTCCCGGACGTCACCAGGGGAGAGAGGAGAGTAATATTCATATTGGGAGGAGGGGAGGAGGGGAGGGGGAGGGGAGGGGAGGGAGGAAGGGAGGGAGGAGGGGATGAAGACGTGGAGAAAGGGTTAGGAGGGGCAGGAGGAGAGTCAGGGGGCAGCTTCGACACGAGGCCGGCTCGGGGAGGAGCTGGGGCAGAGCTGCTCCGGAAGAGCCGGCGGGTTTGCCATGGCCGCGGTCCGAGCGGAGGGAGGAGGAGGAGGAGGTGGAGGAGGAGGAGGAGGATGAGGAGGAAAGAGAGGGGGTGGAGGAGGAGGAGGAAGGAGGAGGAGGAGGAGGAAGCGCAGCTCCTCCACGTCCCAGATCCCTCTCAGCTTGTCTTCAGAGGTTTGCGCAACGTCGTTGCGCCGCTCCAGCATCGACATCAGGTGTTCCTCGCCATCCAGCGTCGGGGAGAAGAGCGCACGCGCCGTGCTCTCCGAAGGTAGATACGGCACGGTGGAGGCGCCAGCCGCTCGCTCCCTGTCCACAAGCCGGCAGAGCGGACGAATCACAGACTCCCAGAACTTCTGGCAGCTTGTGATGCTGTCGATGTCACTGTACTTCACCAGGTCCTCGATCAATTTCCTGTTCACGGTCTCGCAAGAAAACGGCACCTCTGTGGTCTTAGTGCGGGACTCGAAGAGTCTCTTCAGAATCCAAGTGGCGCTCGGGTGCACGAATTCCCGAAGCGCAACTGGGCACACCAACTCACCCGGCAGCTGGCTAAAAGAGCCTGGAGAGATCGAGTCAAATAACGGTTGAATACAAAAGAGTGTTGCCAACTATGTCTTTGCCAGAGACTGTTGAATTTGAAGTTGGGGTGTCAGAATCACTGTCGACGTATCCTCGTTCTTTAATGATCTCTGTGTCGGATTCCCATTCTCAAGGTCGCTCCCGTCGGAATCCCCCGACAAGAAAGTCGGGTGTGCAAGAGCGGATATGGATACCTCGCTCTTCTCGTACTCCATGCCTCTCAGAAGCCTGGGTTTCGCAACGAGAAGGGGAGAAAGAAACACAAACTTGAAGGCGATGCAATGTACTAATGTACCCGGTCCCCCCGGGCCCAGGCTACTCATAAATCTATAGTTTCTTAAAGTTAGAACTTAGCGGCCCCGAGGCCCAAACTCGTTTGACAGCCGCACGTAGACGTAGATAGGCTGGACGAAATTGAGCCAGAAGAGCTCGGGCTCCAGGACACAGAAGAAGAAGAAGAAGTACTGAGGCTAGTCGAACGTGACACTGAGCAGCTCGAGGTGGATCCGGAACTCGAAGAGCTACGCGTCGTGGAGTTCAACCCAAGCCACAACCTTCGTTGTCACGTTCCCCACCTGAACAGGGCTCGTGGACTCCGCGTTCGCGAGAAAGATCTCGACGATCGGTCCGGGGAGTCGTACCGACCCTTCAACTTGTTCTGCGCATTACGGAGCTTCTTCTCGTTGATTTGAACCATTCTGTCTCAGATTTTTTGCGACTTGATAGCGCCCCCGGTAGGGATTGAACCTACGACCTTGCGGTTAACAGCCGCACGCTCTAACCACTGAGCTACAAGGGCCTGGTTTTTCGGTTTGCTCGTCAGTTCTGAGTTTGTGGCCTTGGGCAGCCTGCCGTCCTCCGCTCGGCCTCGTTTGCCTCTACCCCAGCATGCCCTCTGACGTGCGCGCAGATGGCACCCCTCTCGGTCTCCTTTGCCGCTTCTTCTATGGACGAATTCGGGCAGAAGTGGCCCACTCGGAAATGATGTTGCACGTGTCCTCCGGGAGAGTTCGGCTGAGACTCAGATGACCTTTCTTTCTCTTCTGCTGACCGAACCGTCGGTCTCAGCGACCCGTAGCAGCTCCCTTCTCTGCACATAGGGCACCAGATGGGGACGTCGGACAGGTGCGCGACCGCGTTCGCCCGCACCTCCCCCCACTTCCCGATGTAGTACTGCTTCAGCTTGAGTTGAGTGTCTTCAACCAACTGCCCTCCTCGGCACTGAGGGTGGCGCCCCCACTGTACACGCGCAATTGCCCAAAGCAGGGCGGATCCGGAGTCAGCGGAGCCCCCTCGCCTAAGGCCCCGTGGAGATGCTGGAAACGATGAGCACTCCGAGGTGGAGCGCCCCGAGCACGAAGGACAGAAGAGTCGTACCCTGAGGTCGGGCATGTCCCCCTACAGGCGGATTTGGGGGAGGAGGAGGAGGAGGAGGAGGAGGAGGAGGAGGAGGAGGAGGAGGAGGAGGAGGAGGAGGAGGAGGAGGAGGAGGAGGAGAGGGGGTGGAGGAGGAGGAGGAGGAGGAAGGAGGAGGAGGAGGAGGAGGTGGACGAGGAGGAAGGAGATGGGGGAGGAGGGGGAGGATGACGATCGGATTGGATCGGCTGTGCACGTAGGAGGGGGTCGAATCGCTACCGACGGGCGAGCGCCGCCTAGCTCGATTGAGCTTGACGGTCGGCGTTGGCCTCACACGGCCAGGAACAGCTCAGTGAGCAAAGCACCGAGCACCATTCCGAGACATGAAGAACGCACAGACGAATCGTTGGCTCAGTGAGCCCTTTCCTCCCTCAACCCCCACCGTCCCAATGGGGTCGCGCCACACAGCGACCTCACCCACACTCCGTGCGCTAGGGCAAGCGAACGTGAGCGCGAGGACGGGAGAGGGCAGGCCAAATGAGGAATGAGCTTGTATAGGGCAAGTAACTTGGCATCGCTCGGACGTGCGCATTTTTTCTGCGAAGATCATCGAGGGGCACCTTGGATCACCCCGCGAAGAAATACACGCACGACGTCGAGACACACACGGGGAATGGACGTCCGAGCGATGCCAAGGCAACTGACGACGGCGTCCTCCTCCGAGCCCGACGCAGGGGAGAGCTCGCCGATCTTCCAGGAACCAAGAGCTCCTCAGGCACTCACGAGAGAGATAGAGAGAGAGAGAGAGGCACCACCCCCGATAGTCTGGACCGTCCACCCTGCCGTCGTCGCAGCCCCACAGTCGGCCCAGATTAGCAGGTCGGCCCTGCCCAAACAAGGGCACCCTCGTGTCCTGTGTCTCGCGACCCATGTTTCCTACATTCCTGTGGCAATGTGGCCCTCGGAAGGGTCTTGTGTCCTCTCGCGTGTCCTGTCCAGTCGAGTCCGACTGCAGGCCGTGCTGGGCACGGTGGACCGCGAAGCGCAACGCCGGGGTGGGTGAGGCCCCATGAGGCCCACGGTGCGAGGGCAGGGCAGGGGAGGCCGCAACCGAACATAAGCAGGTTCGGGCCCGTTGGAGCATATAGAAACCGGGGGGTAGGCCTACCCTAGGCCTACCCCTAGGCCTACCCCCTAGGCCTACCCTAGGCCTACCCCCTAGGCCTACCCCCTAGGCCTACCCCTAGGCCTACCCCCTAGGCCTACCCTAGTCTTACCCATAGGCCTACCCCCTAGGCCTACCCTAGGCCTACCCCTAGGCCTACCCCCTAGGCCTACCCTAGGCTTACCCCTAGGCCTACTCCCTAGGCCTACCCTAGGCCTACCCCCTAGGACTACCCTAGGCCTGCCCCCTAGGCCTACCCCCTAGGCCTACCCCCTAGGCCTACCCCCTAGGCCTACCCTACCTACCCCCTAGGCCTACCCTAGGCCTACCC